CAGACCGGCTCGAATAAAGAACGAGGAACTGGGGATGGAAAGGGCTTCTTTGTTCTGTCTTCTCCAGAAGGTTACAAGTCTAAGAGCTCGGGACAAGAGCAGCAGAAACACGTGCGGCATGGTGAGTCCGGATCGCCCACACGCTGCCCGTTGTGTGTGTGTTCGCAGTAACCTCGGGCTGAGTCTCACGGACTAACCGTACCTGCTCGTGAGCTTCAGGGAGTTCTGGGCACAACGCGGTTGTGCTCCCCAGGGAGGGATTGCCGCCCTTCCCCCGAGGCGGGGATTGCCCGGATGCTCCCGTTGTGTTTTAAAAGGGGCAGCTGCCTTAGCATGCCATGCCGGCCGCGGCAGCCGGCTGTGCGTGGTGCCTGCCCGCGCCTTGCAGAGGTCTTCTGCCACCAGAGCAGGTGGGTTTGGCTTGAATAAATCAAACCTCTGGGAGTACAGGGTTAACTCTTCCTGAATCTTCCTCTGGACCTGGTACCTCTGCTGATGCCCTGGGCTTCTGGGAGGTTGTGAGGAATTCAGTGCTCGCAGTTCAACAACCCCCAGCAGCTTCCGACTGGGAGGAGCTTAGTCCAGCCCCGCGCTGTTCCCTGCAGTGTCCTTAGCTCCCTTCGGATTGCCAGGGCTGGGGGGCGGTGGGGAAACCGGAGGGAGATCCTGCCGCTGTTGTGGAGCAGGAGCAAGCACCTTGTGGCTCGGGGGGCTTCTGGTCCCTGGTTGGGGCTTGAGGTGCTGCCGTGGCTCGCGTGAGCGTGTCGCTGTTTCGGGAGTCCGTGGCTCTCGGTGTAGTGATTTCAAGCATGCAGAAAGGACGATCTTATTTTTCTCCATGCAGAAGAGAGGAAAAGCGAGCTTTCTTGTGACAGGGGAAGATTTACTGGGAGGGGAAGACTGGCCTGGGAGGTTCTTGATTTTTGGTGCTTGCTCAAAAGAACTAATTAAGACAGAGCAGCCTAGCGGGGAGAAGGATTTGTGTTTTAAGAATTCATGCTGCTCTGCTGCTTGGTGGTTGGAAGAGGGAGGTGACGATTTGGTGGTGGAGCTCTTCCTGATCTTTGGGCATGCAGCTTATGCGTCGGGGCTTCTGGTGGCTTCGGGTGTTTGCTGCACAGGGGCACAGCGTACCTGTCGGCAGCTCCTGGCGAGGGTGGGAGTTCCAAAAGCAACGGGGGGGAGGGTGCTGCTGAAAACAGCGGCCCTGCTGACTGCTCTGCTCTCCCCTTGACAAGGTGACAGGAGGTGCTGTTCTCTGAGCCCCTCAGACACAAGCACCGATGCAGGAGCAAGGAATAGGGCAGGACCTCGAGAGGTGAGCCTGTCCTACACGGCAGCAGCTAGCTGTCGGAGAGCACCTGTAGTGTTCACGCCTGGGTTTGCCGAGAGGTGAGCCTGTCCTACGTGGCAGCAGCTAGCTGTCAGAGGGCACCTGTAGTGTTCACGCCTGGGTTGCCTCGTCCTTGAGGCTCACTCCTCAGAGCAGTCTTCCCTCTGAAACTGTCTCTGCTAGTGCACCTCAGCTTGGATGTGCAGAACGATTGTGCTCTCCTGAAAACCTCGCTGTAGTACATCCTTGAGGCTTACTCCTCAGAGCAGTCTTCTCTCTGAAACTGTGTCTGCTAGTGCACCTCAGCGTGGATGTGCCGAATGATTGTACTCTCCTGAAAACCTCGCTGTAGTACTGGAGTTGGCTATTTCCAAGTTCCAACTAGAAAATCGGGACAAGTTAACAGCTCAAAATCAGCTTCCAAGTGTGTAACAGAGCAGTTTACGCTTAGGTGGAAGATGCGTTTGAGTGTGCCTGGTGCAGGTTCCGTCTGAGTTGCCGAGGATGCAACCTCGGCATGCCGAGGATGTTCACCCTCAGTTCCACCTTGGGCATACGGTCGTCTGGGAAAGGGTTAGCGCCGTGTCCGAGTGTGGAGCAGTCGGTACTGTGCCCCTTGGGTGGGGAGGGGTGGACGTGGAGCCTGCGGGGGTACCTGGGTTGGGCACGCGTGGCTGCTGGAGGAACCCAAGAGCGCGAGCGGGTGGCTCTTGCGCAGGGCTGGCTTGAAATGAGTCCCGTCAGAATCCCTGATCAGCAGGAGAGTTGTGTTTCTGCCCGGCTCCGGGTTCCGTGGGACCTTCTCTCCGCTGATGTGCGGGGAGCCGTGGTATTTACTAAGTGGGCACTGCTCGCTGGTGCTTTTAACTGAACGCCGATGCGTGTTTTAAGAATGTTTCCTGTAGTAAATCCCCTGCAGCAACAAAACTTGCTAGCTCGGGGAACGGCAGCAGCGGCGCGAGTTGCCTCACCTGCCCCTCACTCCGGGTTCCGTGGGACCTTCTCTCCGCTGATGTGCGGGGAGCCGTGGTATTTACTAAGTGGGCACTGCTCGCTGGTGCTTTTAACTGAACGCCGATGCGTGTTTTAAGAATGTTTCCTGTAGTAAATCCCCTGCAGCAACAAAACTTGCTAGCTCGGGGAACGGCAGCAGCGGCGCGAGTTGCCTCACCTGCCCCTCACCTTTGGTACTCGTTTCTCTGCGAGCCTAGTGCCCTGCTCTAGCCGTGAACCTCTGCCAGGTAAACAAAGTGCGGTCTGTTTGGACTGCTGCCCCGTAACGGTGGAGCGGTTAGGGTTTGCTCTGGCCCCCGCAGATCTTGGTGGGAGTTGGAGCTGCGGAATACGCTTGGATCCCGCCGAGAGCCTGGAACTTGCTCCTGTTCTCACACCTATGTCTGTCTGGGTTCCGCCGTGTTAAATACTCACGGTGAAACGATATGGCAGGCTCTGCTTTCGTACCTGGTCTCTCTAGAACCGCAGTTGGGATGTGCGTGGGGGGTATTTGTCCCTTTCCCACCTTGTCATAGCTTGATCTGGAGGTGCTGAGTTGCCTCTTGGGGCCCTGATGTTGGGCTGTCTCACCTCTGTTTCACACCCATCTCGGTATCTGGTAGCGTTACAGTGCGGATTTGTTCATCAAGGCTAATTAGTGCCTTGGAAACGGCGAGAATAGTCGCTGCAGAAACAGTTGGTGGGTTTAAGCGGCAGAAGTCGGTAAGAGGAGAATGCTCGGAGTAGACCCGAGAGCTTTCTGGTGCTCTCACGTGGAGTTGCCGGTTTTGTTGTGTTCTTTCCCTTGCTCTCGCTTCCTCCCTGATCATCGATTCCTTCTTCATCTCTTTTGCCTTCCTACATGGCATGTTTCACATTTACCTCTCTCTGTATTAAGAGGACGCCGAGAGCTGCTGTTGCCTTTGTCACTTCCGGGGCTCTGCTTCTCCATGTGCGTAGCTCCCGGTGTCAGGCATCTCGATTCCAGCGCTCTCCTTCTGCTCGCTACGTTCGAATCCATACGGCAGCCTTCGCCCTGGCGGCAGCGGGCCGAGTGCTGCAGCTGATGCTCTTGTGGTGCTCCCCATTAAGCCGCCTGGAATAGAACTGCATGGCCTGATGTAACCCGCTGCTGGGTTCTCCACCGCTGGGGCCGCAACGCAGGGCTGCGGGCATTGATTTCTGGGCTTCTCTCACTAACACTGCATGCTGCAGCAGGATGGAGCCTGTGACTTGATTTTGTCCGTTCCGGGACTCGCCTGGTCCGGGGAGGTAGGCTGCTCGAGGATCTTACGTTCAGTGGAGCAGTGCCACGCTTACACCTGGTTGTCGTTCAGGCTTCCCTGAGCGACTGAGACGAGGAGTAGCACAAGATGCCTCGCAAACCCGCAGCAGGCTGGGCGTGTGTGCCGGTTTTCACACGGTGCCCGGCGTGAGAGTCGCTGGAGTTGGGAACGTCCCTGCACAGAGGAACGCTGTAGTTAAGACTTTACTCTCTCTTTCCTTCAGGAACCCTAAGGACCTTGCAATATGAATAATTCTCTGGAGAACACCATTTCCTTTGAAGAATACATCCGTGTGAAGGCGCGAACGATCCCCCAGCACAGGATGAAGGAGTTCCTGGACTCCCTTGCTTCCAAGGGGCCGGAAGCTCTGCAGGAGTTCCAGCAGACGGCCACCACCACCATGGTCTATCAGCAGGGTGGCAACTGCATTTACACAGACAGCACGGAGGTGGCTGGGTCTCTGCTCGAGCTCGCTTGTCCCGTGACAACCAGCGTCCAGCAGCAGACTCCGCCAGAGCAGCAGATCCAGGTTCAGCAACCCCAGCAAGTCCAGGTAAGCGCTTGAAATCATCTCTGCGTGCGTGTGTGACCCGCTGACCCACGGAGCAGCGTTCAGAGCCAGCTGCTGGCTACCTGAACCCCCCGGCAAGCGCTTCAGCAGCCGGGCCAGTTAACTGTGCGCAGGCCAGCACTGTTTCCCGGGCACCAAAGGCAGTTGGTAGGAAATTTCTGCTGGCTGTGGCTCCGCTGAGCGGCGCCGGAGGAGGAGCAGCACACATAGCGATGTAGTGGTGTAACCGCTGGAGGAACGGCTGACAGTCCTGGCATGTGCACAGCTCCCCGAAGCCTCGCGCTCTGCGAAGCTGCTATAAATACCAAGCCCTCTCTGGTCTCTATCTGGTTGCTCAGGGTGGCCACGGGGTCTAACGTGCCTTCTGTTGTTTTGTTTTTTAATCAAATCAACACTCTTTAAATGCTTTTTTGCTTGGAGGTTCTGGAATTTGTACTTCTTGAGCTGGCTTTTAAGTGGGGGAGTGCAGGGAGGAACCAGGGGACGGTACCTTTTGGGAAAGGATGTCTGTGAGGTAGATTTTCCCTTTGTGCAGTGGAAGTAGTCGTCTCCTTTTTTAAACAGGTGTTACAGTAACTTTTTATTAAGTGATAAATGAGCAAATCCGGCACCAGAGGGGGAAAAACCCCAAATGTATAACTTGAGCTAACTGCTTCGGCCTGCAAACGCGTTTTGTGGTTTGAAGAGCTTACGGGTGGCAGGACGATCGCCAAGGTTTCCTTCCGGTGTGTCTCCAAGCACCTGAACTCCAATACCCTTCGGGTAGGGATCTCTCTCCTCCTGTAGCACGAATGTGAGGCCGTGAGTGCCGACTGAGGCGCGGAGGGGCACACGGCGCGGCGAGCTTGCTGCGGTGCAGCAGGCTGTGTTAACAGCTCGCTTGCCTGCTTTCATCCCAGCAAAGCCAGGCCTGTCGCTCGTGGCAGGGCAGCTCCTCTCCGGTTACTCTGAGTAAGTGAATGTTAGCTGGGGCGGCCGGAACCTGTTGCCCTGCAGTAACTCCTGTCGCCAGGCGTTTGAAGAATAAAAGCCTCTCGTCTCGGAGACGTGACTTGGATCTCCGCGTGAGTCTCTTAAAACTGATCGGGGGGCTTTGGCTCCACCAGCTGGCACGCTTTCGGGGAGAAGTTCTGCTTTTCAGTAGAAGATCTAAAAGGGTTAGCTTTTTTGAATCTCTCAGCCTTGAAGATGGGGAGGGCCCCCAGTTCAGTTGTAGGAGTCAGAAGGAATGTGGGTTTTTTCCTCCTGCTTGCCTCCTTTCAGAGCTACTCAGGTTGAGGCCTGACCCTTGCAAGCCCTACAGTCACAGAGATGGGGAGGGAGGTCACATATCATGCTCCAGAGAAAAATAATCTCCTGACCTTCTTGAAAATAACCCGAGTGCTGCTGCCAGAGACCTGTTCCTGTTTTTTAAATGGAATGGCCTGCCCCCTGAATAGGAAAATTACCTGATGAAAGTCGAGATTCCTGCAGCTTTTCCAGAGAATGTTGTCTGCTCCCCTCAGCTTTGATGTGACTCTGCTTTGAGATACCTGCTCTCACCAGGGCGCCCCTGATCCAGCTGGCTTGCTGCGCCGAGACGCTG